GTGATTAAAATGCAAAAAAATTGAATTTTCCACAAAAAAATTGGAAAATTCATTATAAAGACTTGTTTAACTCCACAAAATGTCTTCAAAATTATTGTGCTACCGAATTGTAAGAATTATGCAGGCATATCGGATATTTCACGGCAATATGGATGTTTAAAATTCGTAAATACATACCTTTTTTGTATATATACGTATATTTCGATGCGGTCACCACTTGGTACCGAAAATTTCTAATATGAATTACTGCTGTGTTAGAAAGCTTAAATATTGCACACATCATTTTCAGACAATTGTTGATCATTCCGGATCACAGAACCTTCAATTTACGTTCAGAAATGAATCATTTGAAAATTGGAATTTTTGAGATTTTTCGGATGAATTCGATGAATTGCTACCATCACTTGCTTTCTATATCACCTGTATATTTTTTTTGAGCTTCACGTTCCGAGCGACATCTCTATGTGCTTGGCATTGAACTCGCGATCCAAACGAGCACCAAAGGCAATTAAAACATTTTTTTTTTGGTGCGAAAAAGTCAAAAATGTCAACTGATTTTGTGTGAAGAAAAACCATGTGATATGCAACGTCCTCGCAGTTAATTTCGATGACACAAACTGTGCAAAGTAATTTCAATTTATTTTCCATCACAAATTCACTAAATACAAATAATAAATCGGTTTTTGTTCAATTTACACGGTATATCTTTATCGAGCGTAAAATGACAGACGTCACAACAAATGATTCCGTATTCAAACTTCAAACAATTAACATTCTACACAAACTTTTTGTTCTAATTTTCATGAGCACATAGAGATGGCGCCATCATGCAGTTTTTTACATTATTTGCCATTGTAAGTGATGGTAGATGAATTGTCACTTCATGGTGAAGGTACCATTTTTTAACTTTGCATGGATTTTTTTCTTTTGCAATGTGTTATTTGGGTTCTGTTCTGATGATTTAAGCATAAAAATACACTATACTTTCAGTATTGTTTAAACAATACTGAAAGTATAGTGTATTTTTATGCCTTACAAAAAAATTCAAAAAAATTAAAAAAAAATCCAAATTTTTACCATTTTTGATATTTCGCCGTTGAGCCGTGACATCTCAGTTTATATTTTTTTTGCAAAAAAACGACCGATTCGTGATCAGGGGATCCCATAGCCAAGGTTATTACCCTCGCCGTATTTGTTTTTCAATTTTTTCATATTTCTGCTACACCCTAAAGTATAATCTTTGTTCACTACATGCTTCAATCCATGGACAGTTGATTCTCGACAAAAATCAGCCCAAAAATTGAGAGGCCACTGATCTTTTCGTCTTATAAATAAAACAGCATTGAAAACATTGGAATAGAATCGACGAAATTTTGAAAAGTTACAATACATTTTTTTGTTACAAATTGTAAATCAAAATTTATTCCCAAGGAGGGCATGTAAAGGATACAAATAAACTAGATTCACTATTGAAAGACATAAAACATACTAGCCACAGAACATTAGTGAAAATAAGTTTTCAACATGAACGGTCTTTTATAATCGATAAAAATTTAATCAAATAAATCCCTTTGCTCGGTGTTCTAAGGGATAAACATTAAAATAATTGAAACTACTTCTGGCATGGCATGTATATAAATAATTGTTTTATTTTGCTTTCAAATTTATGAAATTTTTTAATTTCTATTAATGATAAATATAAGTTGTTACTTTCCAAATTGATTTAAATGCAATTGCTTGCACCGATGTTTGGAGTGAAACATTTCTGTACATTTGTGGACTTACCATTTCTTGAGAAGTATCATTATTGAACTTTTTTTGAAACCTGGGATCATAAATAATCTGAATGTAGTTGTTATGACCGTTGGGCATATTCAACATTCAAGGTAATCTTTATTTGAATGAGAACAATTTATAAAATGACATTTTTATGACAACATTTTTTTTTTGCGTGAGAAACACAAATCAAATGAATCGTGTTATTTTATTAAAAATTCACAATAGAAATATATAATATATGTGTCTTATATAATATCCATAAAAGTGAAGTGCACCAAGTATTTATTTGGATAAGTGTTTCAAATTGACCAAACAACAAACCAAATCATAAAAATAGTATTTTGGACGTAGTATAATATATTATTTTTATGTAGATAAATACTCTAAATTTTTTTTCAGCCTTACCACACACTGAACCTCAAACGAAATTCAGCGCAAAGGCAAACCTTCGCTGCAAAAAAATAACATTAAAAACATATAACGTTTCCAGACATTGATTATTATAGGCCAATAAAATGTTTAAGAAGATTTATTAAAGCTCTTTGCATGTTTCAACTTTTTGCGAATGCGTGGTGATGTCCATCGTGTCGGTGCGCCAAATGAATTGACTGCTGAGGGAGCTCTCAAGTCATTTGGCGATACACCTTCATCCACGTCATCTGCTTCAGTTTTTATCTCCATTTTCTGAAATAATTTTCAATTTAGAATGAAATCAATTGAATGAAATTGCTTGAAATCGAATGAGAATATTTAAAAACGAACCTGAACGATAAGTCTCAGCATTTGATGTTGGTGTTCCAACGTTGTGGTGATACTTTGCAATTTGCGGCGTTGCTTTTCCATTTCATCAGCCAAAATCTCTTCGGATGTTTCGAAGCCCATGTCAATATTATCTACAATCGAGAAAAATATTGAAATCCATCGAAAACAAAAGTCGATTTCAAAAACGTCTTACTTTCATCATTGAATGGATTACAGAACCATTTACGAAGTACGCTATCAAATATTCCCAATTTGCACTTTTGAGTGTTTGGATATTCGATTAATTCCATTTTATCAGCTTTCTCCAACCACATTTGCGGTAGCTTACGTTCAAGTTCGGTATGAAGTACGACTTGCATTGCCAATCGCTTAAGCTGTGCGTTTCGTCGAACTGACTCAATATCACCCACCGCCAAACCGATGAGCAGATTCATCAATAAGATTGGCATCAAAATCATGAAAAGACCTTTAACAAATACAAATTTAGTGTGTAATCAGAATAAAATGTTTAATAGAATAATAATATACATAATAGTAAAAATGATGAAATTGGTAAAGGGAGCTCATGACGCCAATAGGGTACAACAAAAGTTCCGACAAAATCCATTTCTCCGAGCATCATTGAAAATGTACGTGCCAAAGACATCGGGATCGACGTAAACGCCCATTGACTCGATGACATTTCTTGTGATAACTGTGCAAGGACCAAGAAAAAGAATCGTTACACAATTTCCCGTTGGCGATTTACAAAGTGAAGAATTTATTTTGAATTACCATAGATTTTGACAAAACAATATAAAAGGCCAAACCGAATGCAATAATCAGAATCGAAAATACCATTAGTACTCGGATCAACGTTTGGAGTATCTCTAAAAACATCACTACGTAAATGCCAACCTGAAAATAAGAAAAAGATTATTTTTTTAACTAGGCCATTTTCAATTTCTCCATTTTGCATCACCCACTTGATCAAATCGTTGTAAAAACAGTAGTAAATTGAACCATGATAAGAAAACTGTAAGTGATGCAGCTGAAAAATGGCAATCGGAAATCCAACCGCCGTTGAAAACCGGCGACACCATTATGCCAGCAGAAATGTACAACATCCATGAGACAAAGTTGTTCGGTTCGAATAAATACTGCCATTTTTGTTGATAAATTTGGAGGAATTCGCGTAATGTGCTGCATACAATGTAAATAATAATCGCAACGCTCGTTACACACATTATGGGTGTAACAGTGATTTGTTTGTCAATGAAACTTTGATTTGGGTTTATAGTATGTGGTTTATAAGTGGTATGCACATATTTCGCAGCTTGAGGCTATCAAATAGAAAAACATTTATTTATTTGAACTTGAATTTTGTTCAACAAAAAAAAGAGATGAGGTACCTTTTCGTCGTCACTAAAATTTTGAGTTGCAGATGACACATGTTCATTCATACCAACAATTTGCATTAGATGTGATGCATAAATGGTGACAAATGACAAGAAAACAGTGTAAATCAGAAGATTGGTCACGTGAAAGTATTTTCCGTAAGCATTCCATTTCATTTGCAGATATTTCTGACTGAGTGGATGAGCCTGTAACGAGTTTAATGTAATTTACCACGTTCATTACGACTTCAAGAGCATGTAACTTACCAATAGTTCAACCCGACCATGTGTTACCATCGCCTTAAAAGAAAAAAGTATTTATTTCAGTTGAGTTGAACGACATTATAAATAACAGCTAGAAAAAAAACAGTATACAACGAACAAATCGGAACAAATACACCGAATAAATGCAAAATTCATGCATGTACAAAAAATTGAACTCAACACCTTTCAATAAACACCAATTACTTACATTTATAACGGCCAACGGTGATGGTCTCCATGTCGCGTCGTTCAAACTTTGTCGAATTGCCAATATTTTGGCTTCCGGACATCCATAGCTACGGAAATTATATTTGATCTAATGGGGGACAAGCAAATACAACAACAGCAACCATAAAAAATAAACATCAAGAAAACAAAGAAATTGCTTGTCTTATGCTGTCGATCAAGAAGGAAATTCACATCAATTGGACATTCAAACGCTGAGACATATATGTTTTTTATATAAATAGTACAGAAACATGCAATTGTACGCCACATGCACCTTCGCAAAATGCATGCCTTTTTCCAACGCATTCGATAAAATTAATACGTAATAACAAGCAATGCCATTGATAGCGTTCAATTCTTTCTATTCGGTTTAATTAAAATGTCAACAGAGAGCAGAGAAAAAACAAATAGCTTCGTTAAAACAATCTAGCTAACACACTTTACTAGACAAGAGAACATTCAACATGAGAAATGTTTTGAAACAATATTTCAGTCTTACATTGAGCGCTGGCAATGGAATTGGTTTTGATATTTGAACTGCTTCACCCGTTTTTTCATCCATTTGCGCGTACATCGTTGGACATTGCAAGCACGACAACGAGTATTTGATCTGAATACAAATAAGTCGATTCGCCTTATTATTTCATTTTTATTTTGGAATTATTTTGCTTTATTTCTGATCTTGATGGTAAAAAAAAGTGTTATAAACACCCCAGACGATAATATTTCAAGTTGAATGGAATGTAATTCATTGTCATTGGCGCGATTGTCTTTTGTTTTTGTCCATGAATATTAGTTTTCTCATGAAATTCCTTCCATATACCATGGCATCAGCATAATAATATAAATAGAACACTTTTGATGTGTGCATACTTACGTAAAAGCTCTTTGAGTCTTTTTTGCAATTTGCCTTTGTGATACATTTGTCTTGTACGGCTTCGAATACACGTGGCATCGATGCAATTAGAGCCAGCGTTACGCATGGATGCTTGTCAGATTTCAACATCATCACTTCTTCCGATCGTTCTTCGTGTGTTACCATGGCCAAGGCAGCCTCCGGATATTTATAGTAAATGGCATAGTCAATAGCACTCATTTCCATATAATTGTAGAGAAGCTTACAATTCATCGACAATAGCAGTGAAATTGCATTCGGTTTATTTTCTAAAACAAAAAACCAATATAAGTAGTTTATTTGGTGGATACATCAAAGTGTTAATGCCAGACATTATAATGTGATATTTTCAGCCAGATGAATCAGCTCAGCCAGATATCGTCAGCATCTGAAATTGAGTGGAAACAATAGAAGTGATTGTTATGGTTATAATTACACTTACATTGCTATAATCACTATAACAATCACTTTTATTGTTTTCACTCCATTTCAGCTCCTGACGATATCTGGCTGATCTGATTCATCTGGCTGAAAGTATCTCTTTATAATGTCTGGTTAATGCACTTACCAATAGTTGCCAGATGCAGTGGAGTGTTCTTAAGTAAATGAAAGTAACGAATTTTAATTAAAAAGTGAATTTGTAAAAGAGAAACCAAACACACATACCCCATCTTTGTCGCATTGATCGAGTAGATGCGAATGCACCGAATGCAATAGTTCCATGGTTTGTGTGTAACCAGACGACGCTGCCAAATGCAGCGGATTGCGTCCATTGTGATCGCGATGCAACAGAGCACCACGATTAAGAAGCAATTGCACCACACGTGTATGTCCACACATAGATGAGATATGAAGAGGTGTGCAGCCTTCGCCGTCGCTCTCGTTAATAATGAAAGTTCCTTTCTCCGAGTCGAGCAATTGTTTCACTGTATGGTATCGTCCGTATCTCGCGGCAAAATGTAATGCCGACTCGTTATTGTTATTTTTCAAATTAATGCAGGCACCCAAACGTATCAGATTTTCCAAAGAACGAATATGTCCTTCACGCGACGCGTAGTGCAGCGCTACAATGTAATCGAAATTGAAAATTAATCCATAAGCAAATAATAAAAAAAAATAATCGCTTACCGGAGCAACCTGTGTTGTCTTTTTCATTAAGCAATTGCGTTAATTGAAAATTGAACTGTGTACGTGATACTTCTGTTGCAAATTCATCCAATCGACCGCCATTCATAATCACATGATGCAATACGTTCCGAGAATTTATGTCTTTGATTGAGATTTGAGCGCCGAGTCGAATTAATGCAAGCACAGTTTTCCATGCACCACGCGACGCGGCCAACAAAAGAGGCGATCTATATTCTCTATCTAGAACATTCAAATCAGCACCTTCTTTAACCAAAAATTGTACAACTTCGGGGTAATCAAACACTAAAATAGAAACAAGACGAGATAAAAATACAATGCGGTGAGAAAATTATCAAATCTGATTCATTCAATACGTTAGTATTACTTGCAGCGCAATGGAGTGGAGTCATTTTCTGTGCGTCAGTGCATGCAAGACAAATTTTCTTCTCTTGCGGTTGCATTCGAAACATAAGCTTGACAATTTCTAATGCTCCCTATATTACGGAAAAGACACGATCACATTTTCTAGAATTTTTGCGCCATTTGTTTATTTGGTTTAATTAAAATGTTTTTGTTGCATTTTAATGTAAATAAATCAAATGTACGTAAGCACGATTGAATGTTTACATAAGACATTTGTTGCGCGATATCAATGGACTATTTAATGTTAAGTAATACGTACTTGTGAGCAAGCTAAATGTACTGGAGTTGATAAATCGTGTTGTTGCGTACAAATTTTTGCCCCTGAATTGATGCACAATTCAACCGCTCTTATGTCTCCACCATGCACGGCGCTATGGAGTGGAACGTTGCCTTCTGAATCGTAAAATGAAATCATCTCTTCTCGTGTACATCCATGTGACTCTGCCCACTTCATTTTATAAATACAATAAAATCAAAACCAAAGAAATTGAATAAGAAATATTAAATAAAGAATTGGCGTCAATATTCGGATAATTTTCCAATGAATTATAATTTTCATTGAATGTTATTAAGTCAATACAAACTTTTTTATTTATATAACAGAAATGTCAATTGAATGGGTATCAATTGCATTGCATAAGTTACCATTGTATATTCTGTGACAAAGAGATAAATATAACAAACCTGAAAGAAGACTTCCATCGTTTTGGAGCTGGCATTTTTAGCGGCTTCATGAATAGGATAATAGCCATTGTTACAAGGCTTTCGGGGACAAGCACCAAACTCTGAAATCTGCAGAAAATTATAGGAAAAAAGCATTTTGTAACATCTCACAAATCCACAAACATGATATTGATTTGCTAATTTTGAATAAAATTCATTTCTCGTTAGACAAATAACGTGCGAAACTATATTCCACTTGAAGACGTATACACTAGACGATTTCATTGCAGAAAATGTCTACAAGAAATTACCATACAAATAAACAGTCAGTGCTCAAATATTAATTGTGCTGTGCGTGTATCAATTCACTGTGCATATTTGGGTAGCTCAAAAAAATGTTTAAATTCCATCGATTTTCCATTTGAATTGGAAGTTGTCTCTATTTGAATTACCCTAGTAAACAACAATTTCCGTTCCTATTGGTATTGTTGCTACCGATTGCTACCTTGGCTTTAAATATTATTATCTATTTAACTCACACATGTTGTGCGGAACCGTTGTTCACCTTTTTCAAAGTGTTTTACATTTATATTTATGAGATCGATGTATCGATATGTTACAACGATATAACGAATATTATGAAATTGTTTTCACTTTACCCAACCTACCAAAATGCGTGCACATTCTTCGTGATCGTAGATGGCTGCTAGATGTAGTGCCGTGCTAATTAACGCAACAAATGTACGATGTTGCGAAGAAGAATAGAAACTGATTTTAGATTTCAATTAAAAATGAAGAAATGTATCAAAAGAGATGGAACACACAAAAATAGATATGGAATATGCCATTGAATATACTCACCGGCCGTGTTCGCCACCTTTTTGAATATCGATAATATTACGATAATTGCCCATCACTTTTAATGCAGTTACTTTGTTTAGTTCGGTCGCCAAATGAATACATGACTGTTTTTTCTCATTTAGAACATTTGCGCTTACGCCACTGTAAAATAAAAAACCATCAAAACCTTCTTAGATATTTCATTCACTTTTAAATATTTGTTCGATTTTGGCATACATTGAGAGCAAATAGTCCATCGCATCAAATGCATCGTCATTCACAGTCAAATGTAACGGGGTATTTCCAGCGGCATCGGGAGCGTTCATATCTGTGAAAGTATATTTTATGATTGAAATTATGTCCCATTCAGAAATATATTGGTGTATGTTTTTTTGTTCGCATGTTTTGTACGAAAAGTTTAGAGATGAAAATCGATATCATGCAATGCAGTGAAATGTTTCTTTTTTTTCGAATTTTAAGTTTAAATAAGTGAAATCGTAATAATGTTGTAATTGTGCGAATCTGTTATGTCTATAATAAAGAATGTGATTCGATACTTACTTCCTTGTTGTGCATGTATGTATTGCAGTATGTTTACTCGATTTTTTGCTGCGGCAAGATGCGATGCTGAGCGCCTAACAATATATTTACAAATAATACATATTTAAATTCATGCAAAAAAATATCTTAATAAAGATTTTTTTTAAATATAAAATACCCTCGAGCATCTGCTACTGTTAAACGGCTATTATCACCTTGATACAAACGAACAAAATTTTCCAAATCACCAGACTCTGCTGCCTGTTGATTCAAAGATGAAGAGTATTCAATATTTGATGAATAAAAGTATTTTTTCATTTTCATTTGACGCAATAAGTGCACAATAGAAAAATTGAAGAAGCACTTCAAAAGTGCCAAAAAGGAATAAGGTATGTTGTAAAAATCGCACACAACCTGAATACGATGTGAGCGAAGAATGCATTCGATTAAGAATGCATGGGGACTCAGTTAGGATTTAATAAACAAATTCCTGCTGCCACGTAAGCTCTTAACTCTCAACAACGTGAACGTGAAGTGTAAAAAATGTTAAATACGTAAAACACAATTACATTTCGCATCCTCCTTTGATGTATGTTCAATTCGTGTCAAAATTGAATTCTCTTCGAATTTCATTCGCATTCTGAAATCTTTGCAAAATAGGAGTATATTACACAATTCCAATAGTCTAGATCTTGAGATATTCGCAAAGAACTAAATACGCATTCCTAGACAATTTGAAAAAAATATTAAATTGCAGACAAAATATTTTTTTACAGATTTTGATTGTGACACAAAACATGCCAAATATTTATGTAACGCGATTCATTCGAGTCAGACGATCAGAATTACAATGAACTGAGTTAGATAAACAGAGTGTGTATAATTTGCATTTAAATGCACGAGGGACTTATTATTGGTAAGGACTCGTTAGAATAACATGTTGATTGATGTTTTACATACTTGTCTGAGTGGATAAATCGGATATTATGTTGGTTCAAAGGATTCATTAAAAGTTAGAATTCACACTTAAAGCCAATACTAATTTCTTCGTAATTTTTCGATTGTTTTCATTTCACGATGATGTTTACGAGGAATTTTCTAATTTTTTTATGCATCCAATATTTTAACTGAAATATATTAAAACTGAAATAAGTGGGCTTGTTTCAATTCCACCCTCGCATTGACGATTATATTTCATTTATGTTCGAAATAAATGTTTTTGGCTTCTTTCCGCATAGAAAATATACAATTTCAATCTTTTGAATAATTTTTCGTCTCTTCTTGGAACTGACATTCTTGAAGTATTTGAAATATCCACCTTTTGTGAGATGAATATTTTAAATGGAAATTGGAGAAAATCTTATTTCAAATATATATCCATTTTTGCCAAAAATCAATATTCTTAATATTTTTCGAAGAAATATTAATCAGTCGATTAATTAATTGGATGAATTCAGGCAATGAAGAAGTAATTTTCTGCAAAATGTTTTTTTTTTTGTCGAATTTTTTCACTTGCAAATACTAACATTGAAGGCATTTTGGTCGTTCTTTTTGTTGTTTGAAGACGTGTCTGCAAAAAAACATTTTCTAGAGAATAACGTTTTAATTTTAGCCATTTTTAAGAAAATCTTTTTTCACTGTAAAACTACTGAATTTATAATTTGAAGAAAAATTGAAAAAAAATTCTCTTGTTCTTATTTAAGTTTGGCTGAATTAACACTGAATACCGAAAACGTTCTTCTATCAATGAACGTGAACCACAACTGAACTATCCTTTAAGCTATAAAAAAATGAACTTTAATTCTCTTTGGACATTCTATCGCTTGAATCTGTCACATGAGGCACGTTAAATCATTATAATTACATGTATAGATTTGCATCAGACAATGTAGATTCACAATTTGTCCATTGTTTTTTTATATTTGAATTAGTCCTATAATTGCATGTCATTAATAGGTTCACATAGTCGGTAATAAAATGAAAAAGGTAAATTTAACTATTGCGTTTTTGTTATCATCATTGATGAGACAAAGTGACGCATTCGATGTTATTATTGAACATATTCAAGGAGACAGGAATCATGGTCATCATTTGAAACATGAAATTAAATGCTTGAAATTATCGTGAATGTACATTAAAGTTTTTATTGAATTCGTTCGGAATTTGAATTTAAAATAATTCAAATGAAACTATGACCTAATATTTAATTATATCTTATGTTCAATTTTATTTATAGAAAAGTGATGATGATTATGTAGTTAAATAGTCCGAGAAGATCACATTAAAAACACTGAATTCACCTGAAAGAATTCATCGGTTTTAAATTTAGTTGTTTGTCCAAAACGTAGCATACGTCCCCAAGCTGGTGCAATGCGAATGGGTAACGTTAATGATGAAGAAATGCTTGGTTGTTTAAAAATGCATCGAAATGTTGACGGTCGCTTTGTAATTTCTTTGCGAGCCTTTAAATTATTCACACTTTTTTCCATTTTAAATGAACATAGTTTTCGTTCGGTACAAAAAAACACGCACAAATAAATTTACTCATGAAAATTAAACACGTTATGATCACTTTTGAAACTGATTTATCTGCCAATCAATCTGTATTTTCAATTGAATCTCTCCAATTTTTAAATTTATCGGAATTTTTTCACGAAATATATAAACTTCGAGAGAGAGAGAGAGAGAGAGAGGGAGAGAAATGTGAACACTAACTCAAAACATGACTAGAATTTAATTGTTGATGTAAGATTTTATCCGCAAATCATGTGCCAACTGTCACAGTCAATATTAGCAAAATGTAAATTCCACTGCAGATCGTTTTTATCACTGAAAATGTTGGCAAAATTCAATTTGCATAATTAATGTAAATGGTGAGCGACTGATTTTTTATTCGTTTAATTTTCTAGATTTATATCACTCAAATACTGTGATTTAGTCGTTATGACTTTATACCATTTAAAAAGCGATTATTATTCTTCAACCACCAATTGGTAACTGAATGCTGTCGAGTGAAAGCATCGTGTATTTATAAGCTGTACTCATCTCGTCCATTCGTCTATCCATTCATCTGCGCTCACCCATACATCGCTTTGAAACGATGTTAGCATCGAATGGTGTGTTTATAAAGACAATCCAGCGAGGCACTTTGCTACATCAGTGCATTGTACCGAACGACATGCACACATATTGCTTCTTACATGAGTAATGGTCTTATTCAACCGACAACAGATAGAGAGAGAGAGATGTTTGCTGCAGGCGTTCAATCTCACCACCAATTCAAAATTACAATTGTATATTCGCTATATTTGTTATTTCTACACTGTACAATAGGGTGTTTCCACATGAAAAATATTAAAAAGTGGCTATTATCATTTTGAAGAGCGTTAAATTCTGTATAAGATGATTTGATTTTTGATACTGATTGGTTGCCGATGTCACTTCCTGGACTAAAAACACATTTGTAGATTGATTTCATGTCGCATTCACGCCAAAATCTGTAATTGATGAAAATATAAGATTGAACAAAATTAAAAACATGAAAAATAATTTTAATATCAAAATAATTGCCTAAATATTAAGAAAAGTAACACAAAAACTGACAATTTTACCACAATAAACCAAAACAATGCAAATTCGCCAATTCATTTGACAGAATGACATTTGAAGCGTGATTCGCTCACGCATGACAAATGACAGGTTATGTGTCAAATGAATTGGCAATTTTGCATTGTTTTGGTAAAATTGTTAGTTTTTGTGTTACTTTTTAAATATTTAAGCAATAATATTGATATTAAAATTATTTTTCATGTTTTTAATTTTGTTCAATCTTAAAATTTCATTAATTACAGATTCTGGCGTGAATGCGACATGAAATCAATTTACAAATGTGTTTTTAGTCCAGGAAGTGACATCGGCGACCAATCAGCATCGAAAATCAAATGATCTTATACAGAATTTTACGCTCTTCAAAATGATGCTAGCCACTTTTTGATATTTTCCATGTGGAAACACCCTACTGTACAATGTGACAATTCAAGCAACAACGCAATAAATGCTTTCAATTCATCCACTTTTCGTGCTTCGTTCATGTGATGCGGTGCATTGTTGGTGGTATTCCGTAAATTATATGAATTCTGTATGTTCTGCATACAAATGATTGTGATGAACATTGATGGATCATGCTACCCCTGTTCGATGCAATGGAAATATTATATCTTAATGTTTAACCAACAAACATTTAATGAGACGGTAAATTTGTGATAAATTCAACTCAGATGGATTCAATAGCTATTGGCGATTTATCAATGCGTCAATTGACTTTTCCGGAAGACATTTGAGCTTGACTTTCATCTCTATAGTTAGATCAAATGAAGGAGCGAAGAGTTTTCACAAGAATTTAAAGACATCCAATGAAGAATAATAACCTACTTTCATGTAGATGAATCCCTTTTTAGTTCATTAAAAGTTTCAGTAAAGATGAGCTTTGAATAAACAACGTAAGTATAAGTTGATTTTCTAAACATTAAAAAGTTCTTTCAATGGATTTTATTAAAGAATCTCTTTAACTTTGAAAATTAACGAGACAGCATAATTATTCTAGGGGATATCCATGCGAATTAGAATTAGCACATTAGCAAAAAAATAGGGAAATTTACATGAAGAAAATAGCAAAATTAGCAATAAATAGCAGAATTAGCACTGTACACGTATATACTTTAGTAAGCATTTATTCTTGAATATATTGAAATAATTAATTAAAATAAAATTCACAAAACAAACGAATTGAATAGTGTTGAACTAAAATGTATCAAAATATGTAGTTAAATACGCTTTTTCTCATTTTTAAATAAAAATATATTCAATGGCACGTAACCAAGCACGTTTCATCTGTATTAACTACAATTTACGAATTGCAATCGGAAATGTAGATTTGATGACAGATTTCTTACTGAAAACGTATACGCTAGTGTCTGCTTCAAATATACACGTTGAAAGTGTCAACTTAAAACATTTACGTAAACACATTTCAGTTATTCGATCATGCTGTCAATCTGACGTATGCAATATTTTTGACGTACTAGAGAAATTAGCAAAAAATAGCAGTATTAGAACAAACTAGTAGAAATACTAGCAGAATTAGTGAAAACTAGAGAGAAATAGCGTTTATTATTATAAATTATTCGATCTGCAATTCACGGTTATCCCCTTGTAATTATTAGTTTCTCTACCTATTTAAATCTATGGGAAAAGTGAGTTTGAATGAAAACAAAATAACGAAACATTTTTCGTTACGTGACGGTAAATTTTGTTTTAATTTAATCTCAATGGCATTACAGGGTTCCTTTATAGGTTTTGCAAAATGCACTTCTTGTTGAAAAAAGAAATGAATGAATTAAATGTGAAGTGATTTTATTGAATCCTCCGTCTGGGATCACAGAAGAGATTTTGTGAAGTATCCAAAGTAAAGTATCTTTTTGCATTCTATAAGATTATGTACTCTAAGAACGATGCGAATACATGGGCGTAATAGAAAATCAAATAATTTCTGAATTAAATGGTTTTGCATTATATTCACAACGATATCATTATGGTGTTGCTATTATCTCCAATGTCGAGACTTGTTCACCGTTTCAACAAAAACTTTCATATTTTTTCCCTCACTTTGATTTGCAATCAAAGAAAAAAAAGAAGTGGCATTCTAGGAACGATGTATTGTTTTCTTCTATCACGTTTTCAAACATTCGACCAAAAAGTTTGAGTTTAAGCAAAGTTTTATTTTATGAAAGCCAGATAAATCAGCTCAGGCAACTGCCGTCGGGCGCTGAAATGTAGCAACAACAATGGAAGTGATTGTCTAAAAAGCTGTCTAAAAATATTTCAATATAATGTCTGTTTATGACAATAAAAAAAGAATGCTTGAATTTTTCACAAAAAATTGAATACATTTAAATAGGAACTACCGTATAAAAAAGGTCTTTTTTATTTTTAAAGTGTATCAAAAGCAAATAAATGTGATCCTAAATTTGACATCGTTTCAAAGGTCCAAACTACAATTTAAACAGAAACAAGGTGTATACTGATTCAAAAATTTTTCCATTTTTACTTCTATTTTCACAGCAAAATAACTTAATAGGCATCAAAATTGGCATACATTTAGGCTTGGAAGTGTGGATATTGACTTACCCGTAAGATGCGATATGGTGAATGTATTAGCAAGCATACACCGTAATCATTTGGATCATTTAATTCGGTTCCTTTGCCAGCTGATCCTCTTGCATTAGCCACCGTATCATTTGCAATGGCATTTTTTCGTTGAAATTGAAATTTAGCTGAATGATGATAATTCGTAGCAGCTGTAACCCATTTCTACGAAGGTAAAAATCACAACAAAGTATATCAATATAGAAAAACGAATCTTTTGTCATAGTTAACATACCCTTAGGCGTAGTGATTTCGATAGATTTGTCGGTTGATCGCAGTTTAGTGTTACAATGTGCATTTCCGTACTATCACACATTGTCGACTCTTTTTTCGCCTCACTGTTATCGCAGAAAGAAACACGCCGCAACGGCTTATAGAATATATTCGCTTCGTTTGTCATTGGCTTCGCTGAAAGGTCAAATATGGATTTTTTTTAATTGGAGCGCTTGCTTTCTTGAAATCTGCAACTATTGATGATGATGATAGAATAAAAAACTGCGTTTGTATAATGAAATGAGAATCTTAATAATATCCAAAACGTCGGAAAATTGAGCAGTTGATAATGCCATTTAGACAATAAAAGAAAATCGGTGCTTTGAATTTTAATCTAATTGGCGTCGTATTGGAATTATGAACTCATTTGAAAGATGAAGTGGTTTTTACATTGTAACTGTGTCTACTTGTTTTTAATATTAACAAGTGCCTAAGAAGTTCAATAATAATATGATTATCGTCTGAGGACACTCTCAAATGGTTCTGCACAATGCACAAGAATAAAAATGAATACGAATTTCAATTGGAATATTTCGAAATGCAAAGTACACTGTTGCCCGAAAGGTCAAACACAATTTATTCATCAAATTTTAGAAATCATCTTTTCACTTTTATTTTTGTATGATGTATTGTTTTTGGTCAAGCTTCAATAAAATTCCTAAGCATATTCAAAACCTTGAGCTCATCCTAAACTTTCCGACAGCAGTGTATAAATCAGAATGCACGTGTTTGATCCGACAAACATATTGGGAATTTTCACTTGAATTATGTACACGTGTAAATTTGCAATAATTGGCATTTTAATGTGTCTACTGTCTAAAAAGTATATATAGATTCGAATAAATTGTTTTTGTATATAACAAGCATAATAGATTAAATTTATTAAGAATATCCATAGTCAAACAATGTTTATAGCATGAAAGTCAATCATTAATTTACAAAATGAATTTAATAAAGAAAATGGTTGCATAAAAATTCCCAGTTGATTCAAATGAACGGAGAGGAAATAAATTTCCTATGTGCAGGGTAAAATAATAAATGTTCTGGTATTTCTTTGTATATCACAAAAATGCAAATAAATAATTGAACAAAAGGAAACGGAAAAAGCGTGTTAAAGGTCATTGTTAAACTTTCCCATGGGCTGTGGTAAAATGAACATGCAACAAAATTAGCATTTATTTAGTTGGGCACACGTCGATTCTTTAACCAGATGTATGCGACATGGTTTGAAAAAGAAAAAAAATATATTATTCTAAATGCCATTGAACTGCTTATGGGCACGTGCCCAAAAGTTAAAATAAATCGTATTTCAGAGTGTGGGAATTTCAGTTGATCTGTGAGTATGCATAATTCATTTATTACCAAAAGCACACGTCAATATTTTGTTAGTTCGAGCCCGGCGCCAGTGACAACAATAAAACAACATTTCCTACACAAATGGCAACGCATCGAAACAATATTGACAACACACAAACATATGCCGTGCTTGGTCTCTTGCATTTTGCTTCACATTTTCACACCGTAAAATTCCCATCGAACGAAATGCACACGATAATAGGAAGAAGAACAAAAATGTGCGTGTGGGCGATAAGAGAAAATCAAGAAAACACATACATATGCAAACGATCACTGAAGTCAAAGAACACGAGTCAAATTTATAATCGTTTTTAAATTCTGTTGTTTCACATGCAAAAGTGAAGATGCAAAGAAAATCCCAGTTGATTGGAATTTCACAGCCCTAATAGAATTTAAGTTATTCTAAAAACTGAAACCGCTTGCACTCACACTTCACAATTGACACACGTTCACTCTCAGGTAAACCGAACGAAGGGGCACACAGCATTCGACGATGAAAATGAATAATATTGGATCGTTGTCGGAACTTCCGTGTGTGATGATGGGAATTTTTCATGTATACTTTTTCAAATAATATAAAAACACTGAAACACTGGGATATTACTGCGGGAAAAAACAATACATTTTATAGAAAATGCCCCGAATGGAATTTTGTTTTGGAATTTGTTGATATTTCTTTGTTTCATATGTAAATTTGAAATGGTGGTAATGTACCGTATTATATTCTCACTCACCGAAACTAAAATAATAAAAAAACCCTTTTTTACGGAATTTTATTTGAGAACATTTAACAATTAATGTACAGATATTTTCCGGGTCAGCGTTCAGCTTTTGATAATTTGCGACTTTCGCGTTCCGTTGTCAGGACTCAACTAACTAATTAATTGAGAAGCATATCTAAATAAAACGTGCGACTTATAGTGTTTCATTTCGATTAATTTGCGTTTTATTTTATTTTTATTTTTTTGCCTCTATGCTGAATCATTCTGAAGTCATAAAACATCGCCATTATATCAACAGTTAGATGATTGAATGATGGACGGACGGTTAAAACAATATATAGAGAAAGTGTCATTGTCTGAACATTTTTTATCATTGATAAGGCACGTAGCATGCGTAAAACGATATAATTACGAGCTAATATCGATTTGTTAGTGTTATATAAAGCATTGGCGTTCATGTACACGAATGCTGGTCCGTCGATTTTGTTGTTGTATTTAATCATATAATTGTAAAATATCATTAACAACACATTTTCAGGAGGAACGAGTCACCAGCAACACTGTTTATAAGCATTATGTTTCATTCAGTCTCTCTCTCTCTTTTTCTCTTTCTCAAAATTGCACGCAATAACTTTACAATGACTTTACAACACGAATGATACAAAATGCGAATTTACGAGCAGTCTCATCTGTTTTCATTTCCATTTTGGTTTATTTAGGTAAGCAATGAATAAAATTTGACCGGTAATTTGAATATGTGTGAAAATTAATTTTGATAAAATGTTATTCCATGTAATTTGTGAAATAAAATAAAATTAATTTTGTCTTATCGATATCAGAGAAATGTGATATCGAAAGAGCATTATCATGATACGTTTATATTGCAAACGTTTATCATATGTGGGTGGATGGACATGATCCGTGTGTCTGCTTCGTTTCGAAAAAATCTCAAAATTATAATGTTATCAATTTCCATCAATAAGCTTGAAAAGTGAATCTAGAACATCAAGTGGATACAATTGCTTTTCATCGAATACTGAAGTAGCTATGCAATTTAAATGAAAATAAAAATAATTGATAAAGGATTCAATTGTTGAAACATATGTATGCACTTAACAATAGAAAGTAGTTAAAAATATGCACATTTACCTGGAATTGATTTTATAATATTCTTTTGTTTTGGCATGAGAACATTTCATCTGCTGCGCATTTACAACCAGTAGATGAATTGGTGTTGCGTTTCAATTTTTCGGTGAAATTTTATAATACTCTTCGGATAATGAAATTGAGAAGAGCTGTTAAATGCAAAACAGTGCATGAACACGTGTGGTAAATGTCGAAGTGAATGTAAAAATCAAACGCTTGATGTAATGTATTGGAAAAGGACTCAAGTACTTTGTATAAACACTAATTGGTCAACTTTCTAATTTCGAAAGAAAAAAAAAATGTTATTCCATGACGAAGACAATTAAATATTTTTGGTTTAATTAATATTTAATTATTTTACTCATATCAGATTGCATGGTGTGGTGCGTAGAAAACCGTCTTCAAAATGCAATTAATTTGGCATTTTTTGTAATAAACCCGGAATATTTTTTCTACATTGAGTTATCGCGGTTTCTAGTAATATTCTCGACAAATTATTTGAACTAGAATGTCTGCTTATGAATGTAGCAAATAAACATTCTCGTCTATCACAAGTAAAACTTTGTTGTACGCAAACATTAACAAAAAAAAACGAATCAAAAGTATTTTCTTTCAAAAATTGCCCACGGCAATGTAAAATAGACGATAAAACATTTGGCAAAATTTGGATAATGCCACAATAGTGGAAAACAGTTGAAATGCCAATGAAGCCGAAGACGTAATTCATACCGTAATTATTTTTTGTTAATGAAATGAAATTAAGTTCTAAGATATTCATTGTTGATTTCTTCCCTCATTCTGCAATTTGATACTTGTGTATCAAGTTTTTAAGTACTTGAGCAATCAATTTCGCATAATCATAATGCATAAGCGTTCGCCTCAGACTTTGATGCGTAATCTACGCTTTATTTCTTTTGGATTGTGCCAACGTGTGAAAAGGGAAACCATAGTGGGTGGCTGTATGGTAAAATATTTTACGTGTATGTGTATATGTGAATATAATTACTTTATTTTAATTGGAAAGTAAATGATGATGTAATAACAAAATCATAATACGTCTGGACGTGAAAGCAAAAACGAAAAAATTGAAGAAAATCAAACCGAAATCGAATTCTAATAATTTAGCTGAAAATGTTGAATGATTAAAAGTCTCAAAAATGTCTTCTGCTATTCTAACAAATATAGCAGTGCTATATCACAATGTTCGTCTTTATTTCATAAATTTACAATTTGAATCATTATCATTTCTAATACTAGCTTACAAAATAAAACTGTGCATGGGAACTAAAGTGTTTAAAGTGCTAACAATGAATTTAAAATATTCGACATTTCCGGGCGTTCATTGCGATCGCATCGAGTACACGAAAATCCAATTTCGATCAATTGCATAAGAGTTTGTAGTCCGGTTTTCGATGATGGTTTAGCATGAGCATTGACCAATGTACTGATCCGTTCCGGCGATTCACTGAATGCCCACATGTAACGTGATAGTTTGCTATAAGTGCCGCGACGTTCATCAAGCGGACGAAGGCTGGTCGCCAATTCAAATAGAATCACACCAAATGCATAAACGTCATTTTTGGTGCTAATTATAAGTGTTGAAATGAAATCGTCGGCTAAATAAGCGTGAGTGCCGTATAGTCGTTTTGATTTTGTATTGCCGTTTATTGTGCATGCTAAACCAAAATCGCCAATTTTCGGTTGTAGATTGTTGTCCAGCAAAATGTTGGCTGATTTGATGTCACCATGGATTGTGGCCCGTTTATTGAATGTATGAATGAATTGAAGTCCGCGTGCGGTGCCAATGGCAATATTGAGTCGCTGTTCATAAGTCAATGGTGATTTTTTTTGTCTTAAACATTCGGCCAAACAACCATTTGGCATAAGTTGATACACCAAGCACGCTGACGAACCATCAAAACTATATCCGTACAGTGGCAAAATGTTGTCATGTCGATTTTTATTTAAGAACCGCATCTCGATCAATATTTGCTTGAGTCGTTTTTTTGTTGTTGCACTTTTATCGTATCCTTTGCAATTGATCCGTTTGATTGCAACTTCAGTGTGTTTCCATTTTCCTCGATACACAACCCCAAAAGCACCGGCTCCAAGTGTCTCCTCTTCATTCCAATTGTTCGTTGCTTGTGTCAATTCGTCCAATGCAATTTGCGGAATTCCTGCACAAATGATATCAAATGAATTGACATCTGGCTTGAAACTGTCTGATTTTGGTGTTGCATTGATTTTTTTATGCAGTTTATATGGTTTTTTTAATGCATTCACTTGAGCCTTTAGCGCCGAAAACGATGAACTCTTTGTAACGATAAGGCGATGATATGATTTATCGACTAGATCACGAAGCGTTTCCATTATGCGAGACTCTTTCAATCGATGCAACAGCATGAACAATTCGGTAACTGTGTGATTTCCGTGATCGCTCCACTTAGACAATAGTTTTGATGCTGGCGACGTACTTTGACGCATTTGATCGATGACCAACTTTTCATATCCAATTTCACGTGCCAGATATCGCCATCGTTCATTTTGATCCAATTGACCGCACACAATCCGATAAATGCTTAACGGAATTTCATGTATCAAACACGAGGTATCAATTAACATGGCACTCATCACTGCTGATTGTTTGTTGATTTTTTTTTGGTTCACTTTTGTTCAGATGTTTAAAACACGAAAGAATTTTCTTCAAACGTACATATATAACTTTTACTTTGAACAGAGACTTCTTTTTTTCTGTTGCTCTATAGTTAAGAGAGATGTTTCTGCTGCGAGATGTTGAATGTAACTGATTGTAAAGGTCGATGCCATGTAATTTTATAATTTATGAAAATTTCCCATATGTTCAATATCGAAGTTTCCCCAGAACGAGAATGAGAGTAGACAGCAGAACATCAAGAGTGGGATGAATTTTCTTGGTTTATAAACACAATCGGTTTTCAAAAGTCCAACGTCCCGTCCGTATTCGATTGTATGCAAATGTTGGTCGGAGCGATAGCAATGCGAAAATAATGACAAAAAGAATATGCAAAATATGTAGAATGGGAAAGTTACGCACTTCAGGTAGAAAAAAAGAAATGACATTTGCAATGGTCTCATTCGTTTCGTGTATTGTGGGAATTTTTACGTACTTTTCAACAATTTGCCGAAAATAAAAAGGATTAATATAATCCAGTTAAAATAAACAAATGCCAGGGAGATGCTGTGCTCAATGTTGCATCTATATGATTGAAAGTAAAGAGAATTTTTTTCTGCTTGCAGGACAGTTATAGAATTATCTTTTTTTCTCGATTTTTTCGGTTAATAATTTCGCGTACATTTTTATTTTATTTTGCATCTTTGTTAATTAGTGACCAACATCCATTTTGTGGGGAAATTCCCCCATTTAGTCTCGACAACGGGAATTTTATTCGATGGTTTCCTTTTATTGGGTTGACTAGTTGATGTTTTACGACATTAAACTTCAATTTTCCCAAAGATTGTACTTTTTTGAATCCAGATTCAATGCATTTTGCCAGGTTCCATTTTTTTCAATAATTTCTTAAAATACTAAACACAGTGTACATTGAAGAGATTTTTAATTAAAAAAATGTCAGCATATGACCAAATGATTTTTTTCATTTTTCGACAAAATTCTTTTGTATTGATGATTTGTTGTAAAAAAATGTTTTTGATGAATCACCAATAAATCCGTAATATTATAATAAAATTCGATTGAATGAAAATGAGGAAAATGCTCTTTTTTTAGTTGTTATTGATAAATTAAAATTGAAGATTATTTGGGTTTGTAACCGTTTTACGGCAAAAAAGAATGGATACTTGATAAAGCGGTAAATTCGTGCAAGCCAATTAACACGTTTTATCATAATCAATGGCATGTTGAAAAATTCACACGATTCGCTTTAGTCGCTTTAGTCACACGTTTTTCATGTGTGTAAAAAGTCAAAATGTGTAACGCGGACACATCTGATTCCAGACAAAAATTCAGTTCATTCGACTGTCATCGTTCATCGAAGAATAACATACTTTGAACTATGTGTAGTGTTTTTGCATTCAAAATTAAATAAAAGAAAAAATCCAAATAAAAAATAGTAAAAAGTGTTGAAACATTTTGTTAAAAACATCAATTTTTAAAATTATTGATTCAGATTATAGTTTTTCGTAATAAAATTACATTCAATGTTAAGATTTCGAAGGGAAGAACAAAATTTTGACATAAATCTCAGTACAAAATAAGAGAAATTTATAAAATTGTGAAGAGAAATTATGTAATTTGTAACATAATAACCTCGTGATTTGTTCCGTTTACATACATTGTTTTTTTTTTTAAGTGTTATGTAGTAAATAGTACACATGGAGTAAAATAAATAAGAATCATAAGTGACATTTAGCGCACGCACACACACCACATACACTACGAATGAATTAGATAAATAAATTGAAACGCATAACCTGTTTCGAATGAAAGAGAAAAACGTCAAAATACTCTCAATGAATCACAACAAACGACCGAAAAAGATGTGTCATCGAACTGGCTGGATAATATTGAGAAAATCATTGAATTTTTTGTCACAATTCATAATATTTCTGTGTTTATCGAATATAATGGTTCACGCATTGTTAAATGAGTTAAATGAGCATTATGATCTAGACGATACATTGGTTTCACCACAACAAAATCAAACACATCGAAAGGGTCGATGTAAGTCAATGAAATTTCTACACTTTCTCTCCATTGAATTCGAAACAAATGTTCGAAAATCATTCAGACGCAATCTGTGTATTGTCATTTGGGGCAAATACCTCCCAGTTAATTAAATAAAAGAAATCTCATATGTGTCATTCTCCTTTTGTTCTTTTCGTTAGAATGAAAAGCAATTAACAACTTTTATCTGTCTGGATTTCAATGCTGATTTGGACCATTTTATTGAAATGGTTTAATTAAAAGCGCATGAATACAAAACGACACATTAATTGCTTTTGCAACGGTTTTTTTTAAATATCACATATCTCGTATTTTTTGTGTCACTTGAATGATTGTAGCTAACATTTTTATAAAATTCGAAATGATTCGTTTTTAGATTTTCCATTTTATACGCTCGGACGATTTGTGAATACACCATGCGTCGGTTCAAATCAATTGATGGGCACATGTGTTTTAATGGGCGAATGTAAAGATGCCGGCGGTGTTGCAACGGGAGGTTGCAATTCAATAACACGTCAGGCAATTTGCTGTGTTTATCAACAGACATGCGGTGGAAGTACATCAACTAACAATACATATTTTGTATCGCCAAACTATCCGGGACTTTGGAGCGGTGGATCATCGTGAGAAAAATACATTTTTTTTATGTCGATCCGCGATAATAAAGTTATCTTTGCATTCAATTTTCGCAGGTGTTCGTTAACGGTGAACCCTTGTAGCAATACAGTGTGTCAGCTTCGCGTTGAGTTTCAAGATTTATCATTGGCCGGACCAAGTGGAGATGGAATTTGTAATACTGATGTGATTGTAAGTGAAGTTTTTTTCCTTTAAATTGAGAGAGGTTATCATTAAATTGATTTTCGTCGTATTTCCTAAAAAAATATTTTATTGATTTATCTTATTAATTTAATGTGAAAAACATCAAAAGGTCAATATACTGATTAAAATATGTAATAAATCATAAAATTCAAAAGACTTCAATTATAAGCAGGAGAAATTCATCTAAAATGTTCATATCACTTCCATTCCAGCAAATAACCGGTGGATCTTCCAGTGTTCCGAACATATGTGGTGAAAATTCCGGTTCCCATGGTGATTATTGAATTATTTATATTATTTATAAAAAGATTATTTTTATTTGTCTTATTAAAAGTGTTTTATTTTTAAAGTGGTTGTTGATTTTGATGGCACAAATCCCATACAAATCACTATAGCGGCGACGTCAAGTTTTACGTTCGGGCGACATTGGTTCATTCGAGCAACGCAAATAAATTGTGATTCAGCAATGCGAGGTATTTTATTGATTTTATCTTTAGAAAAAAAAGGTGCATTTTTCTGTCTCTATTGAGCCATCTTTGGTATTACAAAAAAATTGTCTGACCTTTTCAAATTTTGAATAGTAAGGTCGAAATGTAAAGTTTTTACTATTTCACAGCTCCATCAGGATGTTTGCAATACCACTATGCATCGTCGGGAATAGTACGAAGTTTTAATTATAGTCCGTCACCAAATTCCCTGCCAAACACCATTGGTGTGGAAGGATCGCGACAGATTGCCAATTTAGCGTATGGAATTTGCATACAAGCCGTATCATCTTGTTCGATTACCTATAGCATCTTATCGTCAGATGTGTATTCGTTCACAATGACCGGTGACGTGGGCGCCGTGGATCCATCTCTTCTCGGTACTGGAACACTTCAAGAACAACTTTGTACAACCGATTATCTGATAATACCAAACCCAAGCCAAGGCGGAACCACACTCACCAGCGGAAGTGATAGATTTTGTGGCTTGGGATTAACTGCAACAACGAGTAAGCGAAACAATTTTAAATCTAAACGTAAGCCACATTTAAATTCCAGCAAATAATTTTCATTTATTCATTTATTTTTGTTACGTATAGGTAATGTTCTTCCGTATGTATTGTATGTGATTACCGATGCAAATGAAAATTTGGATATTGGAAATCGTGGATTTGCACTCAATTACGCACAAAACGAATGTCCAGTTATATAAACGAATGTGACATAACTTATATAGACGGACATCCAAAGAATTTTGTTATTCTCTGCAACATTTGCTTTGCTTCAAGAAAGAAAAAAGGTAGTCAACCCTGGAGGAAAAAAAGGTGGAATGAATAGAAGAAAAAAACGACTTGTACGAGGGTTGCTCCATAATTTTTTTTAAAAACATATATAACACAGTTGTTTTTTGTCGAAAATGGTTTTATTGTTTTTCAAAATATTCCCCGAGATGATCGATACACTTTTGCATTCGATGAAACCATTTGTCATAGCATTCGTGCCACTCCGAAACTGATATCTCCAAAACGTGTGTTTTGAACGCTTCAACTGCTTCTTCTGGTGTCGAAAATCGTTGACCACGTAGTTTTTTCTTCACGCTTGGGAACAAAAAAAAGTCATTGGGTGCCAGGTCAGGACTGTACGGTGGATGATCCATCAGTTCGATGTTTTGACCGGTCAAAAATCGAGTAGTTTGAAAAGATGTGTGAGAGCTCGCATTATCGTGATGAAGAATTATTTTGCGACGGTGGTTGTTTTTTCTTATTTCACCAAACACTTCGGGCAAACAAATGGTGGTATACCAATCAGAATTGACGGTCTTACGATCCTCTAGTGGAACGGTTGCCACATGACCACTTCTCCCGAAAAAACAGGCGACCATTCGCTTCGAAGTGCTTCTTGCTCGAACAACTTTCGTTGGGTTATCTTCATTTTGGAAGACCCATACAGTCGACTGCTGTTTCGTTTCGGGCTCATAGGCATATATCCACGATTCGTCACCAGTGACGATTTTATTATCGTCTTTTGAAGCACCACGATTGAATTTCTTGAGCATTTCTTTACACCAACTCACACGAGCCATTTTTTGTTCATCGGTCAATTTATGTGGGATCCAACGAGAGCAAATCTTTTTTACGGCTAAATGTTCATGCAAAATTGTATGTATGCTGTGGGATGAAATGCCCAAAGATGCCTCAATCTCACGGTAGGTCACATGACGATCTTCCATAATCAGTTTTCTGACAGCATCGATGTTTTGTGGCACAACAGCCGATTTTGGACGACCTGTATGAAACTCGTCTTTGAGCGAACTACGACCGCAACGGAATTCTCGGTACCAGTTATAAATTGTCTGAAGGGTTGGTGCTTCATTGCCAAAGGCCAAATGAAGTCGATCGAAACACTGTTGTTGAGATAATTTACTTCGAAAATCGTAGTAAATCATTTTACGAAAATCTTCACGTGTAAAATTCATTTTTTTGTTGAGTCGCAGTTTACCAGTCACTGTAAACAATACAAATAGCGTTCGTACGACAAAAGGTTCAGGGCACGAATACATACCAAAACATCAAACTTTACGAATATGACAATGGTTTACATCGGGCAACACTATAAGTACCATTTTAAAAAAAATTATGGAGCAACCTACGTATTTAATTTAATTGAAAATTTTATATTTATTTGCTTGGTTGTCCATAAATAATTTTTCTATTCCGTTTTTTTTTTTAACGTGAAAAAAAGGGATGAAAATGTTAAAACCATTTTTCATAAATAAATTAGACAGAAAAAAATGTGAACTATTACAAATTGTGTTAATTACAGGATTTCTGTTTTAATTAAAAAATTAACGCTAAATTTACGCTTAAAATTAACAAAAATAAAAAAAATTCGGTTGTGTGGAAACGAAAATGAACTTATTTGAAATGAATAATGGCAATAAAAATGAGAAAGAATCAGTACGACAACTATGTTTAATGAATTGAATTTTCGTTTAATATTGTGTCTATTTTATGCATGCTATTTTCACTGTGTTATTTTTCTTCATAAAATTTGCAAATACATACAATTAGAATTTACAATTGAACTGATGCGTAATGTGACATGGTGTGTGTGTATGCATGAAATGAATATGTTATACTATTAGGTATTGGACAGAAGCGCGACAGTCAAGAGAAAATACTTTCATTTTATTTTGTTTGTTATTGTTGTCTAATTTATAAGCATTACATTCAGTATTAATTTTAAAAACAAAGTTAAAATCAAACAAATCACAGATTTTCACATGTTTACAGTGTGTATGTGTGTTCTTTCTTCTTATTTCTTTTTCAAAAAAGAGTGTACTCATTCTTCGTTTTATACATAACTATACGAAATTTTAATCTAAATTGTGGGTTTTTTATGCTAGCGCTTCAATTCTGATTTATTACTTTCGTTTCGGTTAAGCTAAAAATGTATCAGAATCATTATTTGCGTGCGTTTTGAGTCCACTTCTTTCGCTCCACCTACGCTGTTTTTTTATTGACAATCTCGTTCCGAAAGTAACTTACATAGAGTTTGTAAACACAATCTTTTACAATTCGATTGGTTTTGACCACCAATTCAATTGGTTTGTTTTTGTTTTCAGTTAGGAATATACAAGAACCATAAGACAGAATGTACAGGATATTTCTATATGCTAATATTAGTTAAAGTTTTGTCTATTTTAACTTTAAGAATAAGTGAATGATTCGTTTTCTTTTTCTATCGGTGTATTTTCCCTTTTCGCATAGAGACGAATGGTAATTGTCGAGAGAGAAAAAAATGTCGTTCGATTAGACTATTAATTTTTTTTCAAATTTCGTTCAAAAATTTCCCATTTTCGACTTGTTTATCTCTGGTTTATTTGAACTGTAGCCAATTAAGATCGAAAAGAAAATCGGTTTTAATTGAAATTAAATTTTATTGCCAAAAAAAATTCATTCAATTTTACATTTTAATTGTTTTCCCAAATTGATTCCCATTTCAATATGGAATTTTCAAAAGAATTTATTTACAATTTTCGATTTTTCATCAATTAATAATTACTTTTTTAAATTAAGATATTATGTGTGTTTGTGTGTGTGTTTTTTTTTTGTTCTCATTTTATTTAATAAATTTTGGAATTGCAATGTCATTTTCAATGATCATTTAAATGGCTCAACTTATTATTCATAAATATATCATCACATTTTTTTGTTTAGGAATTTCGCATCGGTGGAATCGGTTTACCGTTGCTTTTATTTCGATCTTTTCGTGCCCATGAAAACATATTTGACAGCGAAGATGCATTGTTACCATTACTACTGCCACTATGAGCGGAATTGCTTCCGTCACTTTTGGCTCGGCTATTTTGTGTGTATTGACTGTAACCAGAATCTGAACCAAAACTCGAGTCATGCGAGTAAATTGGTTGAATGTGTCCCATTTCGCTGGATGTGGACGGTATGCCAATATGATTCCTACTACGCGAATGACGTTGATCGCGATCGCCGTAATTTTGATAATTTGGCGTGTATGACGATGGATGATACGGTCGACGATTCGATGTGGAAATTGTTCGATAGCCACCGTGCAATGGTGGTGGTGCACACGCACTTGCCATATCTTCATGGAATACTGGTTCCGCATAGCTATATGTGTTGTCATTTTGATAGGAATATGGTAGTGTATTACCCGAGCTTCTGTGTCGCGATGAACGTGGATTTGTACGCGATCGACTGTTACCATTGCCCGAACACCGAACCACATTATCGCTGGGTGCATAGTATTGATTTTGCATTTGGATGCGATTATAATTATTTAAATTCGAATTGCTATTGATTAAACGGCCAGGGAAAATGGTCGAAATCATTTGATCTTGTGCCATTTGACTTTGATAGCTGGTTGGTACGGTTGTTCGATTACCACCGAATTTCGGTATTATTGGATGTTCGATGGCCGATGTTAATTGTTTATTGATTTGATTGTGACGCTCAACGTCACTGCTATTCGAGCCATTCATGTGACCGCTACCATTTGACATTGCATTGCCAACATTTCGACTATTCACATTATTATTTACATTATTCAATTGATTGCTTATGCTACTGTTATTTGAATTACTATGACTTAATTCTACATTATTGTTACTTCGATATTGATTGTAATTATGGTTCTGGCTTTGATGATGATGGTGATGATGATGATTATAGTACTGATGTTGATTCATCAAATGATTCGATTCTGATGATGTATCATCGTGGCTACCATTTTCATTGTTCATGCGATTTCCAATTGGCAAATCGCTGGCCGGTGATGGTGTCATTTTTCCCGCACTACCAACACCGCCACCGTTTCGCATTCGTTTTGTTCGATTGCGTAACGCTAAACCACTATCAGGACTAGCAATTCGTGTTGGACCACTACTAAACGAACTATTACTATTACCGGCTGCACCATCGTTGACCGGTGCCGTCGATGCCGATGACGACGATGATGAAATCAACGAATGTCGATCATTTGAATTGCGTTCCATTTCGTTTGGATTGCTTTGACTATTTTCGCCATTGTTATTATCACTGCCACAATGGTTTCCATTGACTGCGCTACTGCTATTCATACATTCGTTGTATAAACTTGAAATTGATGGAATTGTTTGCGAGATGGCAGCACATGTTGAGGTGGATGTTGCCATTGGAATCGGTGTGTTTGCCGTTGCTAATGCTCCATCTTGAATTGATGTAGAAATGTGATATGGTTGTGCGGCGCCTCCATTCAAACTCAATTCATCTTCAGCAAAGTCATCATCCGATTGTACACGCGGTTCACTCTCAATATCCGAATCACGTGGACCTAATTCTTCGTAAACATTATCCAGTGAACGGTATGGATCTGGTCCCGGCGATGCACATACAAATACTGGCGGTGAACGTGAAATTGGGTATCCACTTGGAAAATGAATTGTCTTCGGGTGCAACATCTGGAAAATAAACCAAAAAAAACATCCATTTTAATAAAACAGTTTTTGATCAATTCGCTCTCAATGAGAGTGTGTATACTTCTTTTTTTTTTTTGTTAACGTTTCGCCATTATAAAAATGCTAATCATATTTAAACACTTTTCTGAATTGATAACAAAAACGAACGAAAACAATGAATTCAATTTACACGCTTAAATGTGAGAAGCGATAATTTTAACTCGTCGTACGCTTGCAAAAGCACATCGATTTTCTCGGTTTTATAGTAAATGGCGAATAATACGACTTTCAGTTGTAAAAAAAACTATTACACTTAATGCATTTCCATTTGAATTAAATTGAAATAAAATGGGTCAAATTTTATGTGCACTGATGTGCTCTTTCTCTTACTCTTTTACTTCTCACTTCTCACTGACTCATTGAAATGCTTTGAATGAATGAATGCACGACAATCCATTAGAAAAACTTTTGCTTGTCTTTCTTTCATTCGTTCTTTTTTTTCTTCTTTTTACTCGCTATTGTGATTGTGTGTGTGTATGTTTTTCACCATTTTTCGGTGTTATTTAATCGAAGTGCACTTCATTTTGCTAAAATGCAGTATTTTTTTGGCCGAACTGCAGCCACCACTACTTTTTAATTTGAAACCAACGGAAACTTTTGCATATTCATTTTTGTTCTGCGTTTTTTTTCCTCTTTGGCTCTCTTTAAGTTTATCCGATGGAGAAAACAAATCTGAGGCGACATGCTAAGTGCAAAAATCACACCTCAAGTGCAAATAAAATGTGACAATTCAACATTTTTTTCCCTCTTTGTTTGTGTGTGCGCGTGGAATACGGTTGACTCGTTCTTTGTGCCCATAAATCTTTGCGTTGTTTGGCGAAAGAGAAAGATAGAGAGAGTGAATGAAAATATGGTGGCACATAAAGTGTTTGACGCCACACCCTGGCTCCCCCGCTACCGTTCAGAGGATACGGGAAAAATGAAATCGATTTATTTATTGTATGGGTCATGCGGTGCATTGAAGAATCATTTAGCACGCATTCCATCGTATTTTGACCGCAGAGAACTGCAATTTATTGTATGTTTCAATATGTCTGATGAGCACTCAGACACACTGAAACCGTTCCAATTGAACGATAGAAATGGTTCAAAGAAGATCGAAAGGGGGAGAGAGAGATGGAGATGCACGAAAAATCAACACGCAAGTCGAGAGTGCTTTTGAACATAATGACTTGTCGTCAGCGTTGTTGTTGATGTCAGTATTATCGTTTCAACTTCGACACATTCAATCTCCATTCAACCAAAAACTTGATTCAAAGTACACAGACCGTTTGAACGAAACGGATTTTTCGAGCAAATCGAAATCGATTTGTTATTCGCAATTCATCGTTGTCGTTTGTTGCAGCCGAGAAGTAATAAATTGTGTTTAGATTTGTGTGACGCTAGTGAAAATCTCTTTCTCTCTCTCTCTGTATGTATGTCAAAAAATCAAGGTCAAATAATGGCTGTTTCTGCAGCATAAAAAGTAAATTATTACCATCAAATCCTTTAAATATTTACATCGTAGAGCACGGTGAACGTTTTACATTTTATAGCTCAAAAGCAGTCTCTCATACACAATGTCTTGATTCTATGAATGTAAATCCGTGTGCACTTTTTTTCTCTTCGTCTCCGTTTATTATTACCTTTTTTCGAGAATATAAAACAAAATTACGACTCTGAATACAGTTACATATCATTTTGAATGGCTTGCAAAGAACATGCTTTATGGCACAATTCCACATTTTGCGATTTGGTTTCGAGTAAGATAGAGGCGGTGGCAAACAAGTCGAATAGAAAAACTCAATTTAGTTAGCTCATTTATAATTCTCTTAAAAGCAAAATACTTTATACACACTCAAAACGAACAGCAACAACAACGATACTCGTGCTATACAGCTTATGTTCACCGTATGACGATTATTGTGGTCATTTGTTATTGCGAACTACGGTTTTTGAAAGACTAATTTGATGTGACTTTTCTTGATGTGCATTTTCACAAACATCACCACCACTGCCAACGACAACGACTCCGGCCCGATAAATTGACATAAAAGAACAGCAAAATGCACACACACGGACATGAAATAAGAAAATAAAAGCAATACGCAAGCCACATACATAATGCACGATGGTAGTGCAAAAAAAAAAAAATAAAGAAATTGTACCAAGCTGTGTGTTTGTTCTTATTGGGGTTTCTCAAGAGGTAGAAAAATGCTACAACAATAAAAGAACGTGGATAGCGAGAGAGGGGGAAAAAGAAAAGTTTAAAGAAGTATTTGAGTTGTTGGGGATGAGAGCGTCTTTTTTTCTTTCATTCTTTTTGTTATTTAACCGTCTCTTACGCATCAAACACACACATGCATCTAATGGGAAGCACAAACGCTTTCAGGTTGAGTAAACGTATTCGATGGAGCGCCACTCTTACAATATTCAGCCAAACGAACGCGAAGACTTAAGGCCACTGTGAAGTGTGTATGTACGTGAAGAATGATTGTTGTGAAAATTCTCATTCTCTTCAATTTTTTGTGTATTATTTTTGAGCTACAAGAGGTGAATTCAGCGTCTTTTTTTATGTTCGCCATGTGCAAACTGGTTAAATGTGCGTGAGTCAGTTTGCTTTGAGATTTTCTTGTAATTGGCATTCAATTTTCATGGTTCTGCTCTCTCTCTCTATTTCTCGTTGAATACGCGGTTTTTCTTTACGAAGCGAAATCCTTTTGATGCGCTTTTCGTTGTCTCTTCATAACGTGTTCTTTCTCTTCTTTGGAAGTGCTTTCAAGTTTTTTTTTTTGAAAATTCTTTTATCCTTTACGTTTATCCATATTAATGTGAACCATTCTCGCCAAGGCTCTTTTCATTTCTCACTCACTTTCTCTTATTTTCGTCAAAAGAACCGTCTTTTGGATACTTTCATATGTTGTTTACAAATCGGTGTGCCTTGCTCCTTTTTTCTCTCCTTATTGCTATATGCAAGCAGTTTTTTATTGTGCAAAAGCATGAAATGGTTGAGAAAAAAGGGCAACAAAAAGCGGCATTGTTTATATTCATTTTTGTTTGTAAATGTTTGCGTGTTTATTGCAATGAAATTATTGTGCACAATGTGCATTTGTTTTCCCCTATAGCATCCACTTGTTTTGGAGCAGATAGAATTTTCTTTGCTTTTGTTTTGCCTCTTGTTCCCACCATGTACGTGTTTATGATGTATCAAGATGATATTATTCACGTTTGAATGCTTTAAATGGATTTGAAAGAATAAAAAGAATCCAGCATGTAATGCGCAAAGAAAAGCGTTTGCACACGTCTCGACTCTCAAGTTGCATAAAGTAAATCGGTGTGCAATGTGCATATTTTGTGCGTGTGTTCTGGAAAAATTGCGCGAGCGCCCGAACCATGCTCATATCATGCAACAATCACTAAACGAGAGAAAAAGAAAGAGAAAAATCACATCCAAAGTTCATACGTGCATAAAAGACATAAAGAAAAATGGATGGTATTTATGTTATGGTGCAAATAAACGCTCCACTTCTCTCAGCCTTGTGTAAACAAGATTCGTGCGTGTGTGCGAGGAAGCGAGTGAGTTTCGAATGTTTTTCGAAGCAATCGGATTCTTACGTTGTGCATCTACAATTAGATGGTATTCATGAATGATATGAGCAGTTTATGTCAGAGTCTGGTGAGTGTTTGTGATGCTTTGGTTTTGGTGCCATCGAAATAGTGCATTCTTTTGTCGATTCAATGGCAAAGCAATCTTGTTATATACTCTTGTGGACAAAGTCATAAAAGTGTGTGTGCTTTTTTTCTCTTGAACTGTGTTAAGTGTATGCATGTCGTCGTCGTCATCATCATCGTTTCCAGTGAATGGACAGACAATTCGCATAAATTGTGTTTTTTGATGTTAATGTGACCGATACTTGCAATTTTATGCTCACATGCTCATAGATGTGAAGAAGTCAACCGTAAATCGATGATCCATTCTGGACTGTATGTGTGTACATGGATGCTGCTGACACTGAACGAAACTTCGACGTTTCACAAAACCATTTGAATTTTAAATGAAAACTACTTTCGAGTCTTTTGCTTCAGACATACTCTCATTGAAACATTTTTTTTTAATGAAATTTCGCATTTTCGATTAAATGCAACCCGACTTTCAATTTGTATTTTAATTTTAGGAAAGTTCAGTATCCGAAAGAATTCCTCTTCCTTTGATTTGAAACAAGAAAAAAATATTCCAAAGGAAATCGAACGTTTTCTTCTCTCGTCGATCATTCCGCATCGTCGTTTGATACACATTTATATTGAGTGACGAAGTGTTTAATGTAAATAACGAAAGTAACAAGAAGAGAAAAAAAAAGTATGTTTGATTGATGTTCATCGTGTAGCAGTGGAAACGAGACGAATGTGGGCATGAAAAGTGGCTCTTTGTGGTTACTTCTGCTTATTGATTGAATTAAATTTTCTTTTCAGTGAAGAGAAAAAAAGGCGAAGGAAAGAAAATGAACGACTTAAGTTCGATCGAACGTAGGAAGAGCATTTCAAAAAGGCATCTTGTTTGCGAAAGTTGTAAGTAAATGTTTCCAATAATCGTCTCTTTCATCGGTCAAACCACAAAGAGAAGATTAACCGCTTTTCAATGGTTGCCGGAGACGAGTTTAATTCAGTTAGTTTACTCTTTTTCTCCATTTACCTTTTCTCCCCCCGGTTTTTTTGGCCAGCATTTTCTTTCAATTAAATTCAAAAATAAAAACGAAGAATTTCAATTGGATGCTGTACATTTCAAAAGATACATTCCATCAAAATAAACATTACATTTTATAAATCGATTTCGAAGAATTTACTACAGAATTCACAAAGCCATTTTTATGAATCACTTGAGTGTAATTGAACGCATTTGGACACTTCAAAACTGACAGAGAATATCAAGAATTCAATAATGCTCGAGAAAACGAGAGAAAAAATCCACTGTCAATAGCCTTTGATTCAATTCATCATCATGGCAATGGTGGTGCGTCGGTCTTGTAAAAGTAAAGAGGCGCGTTTTTCTAGCGTTCCCATTAATATTATCAATCGGTCACATCGCACAAATAAACGATTTACGAATCACTTCTTCTGCCTTTTGTTTTCGATTGAAAGGTCCAAACGCGAACGAGAAATGACCGTTGAATTTGCTGATTTCACTGGAATTCTATTTGATGAAATAGATTGGTTACGGTTAGTTTATATTGTCATTGGTATGAGAACCGACTGTAAAAGAAGCATCAGAAATCGAATTAGGGGCCGCATAAAACTCATAAACAAATTGAATAGTCTGCGCATCGAACAGAAAATGAGTCCAGTGTATGCAAACAAAAGCCAATAAGTGGGTATTATAAATGCTTATACTCTTGGTGGACATGAATAATGAGTGCCGCTGTGAGAGTAAAACAATCAATAGCCAACATGCAAGCCGAAAGGTAGATATTATCTTGCCAGGTTGCCAATCTCACTTTCATTGTTTGCATTTCGGCAACCCGATGCGATGACATTTAAATTATGGCGAAATGATGAAATTTTCAAGAAAGGCCCGAAATGAAATTAAGATGATGACGATGGTGTGCCAAAGCGGAAATATTATGTTCCATGCAACGCGCCAGCGATGCACATGATTTTCGAGAACCTCATTCTTGTTTCATTCAACGACACAATTAAATTGACAGAATTCAAGAACGACCACTTCCCCAGAACAAGTAAAAAAAACGAACTCATTTGTTTTCAGCATGTGAACTACATTTTACAATGGCTATAATTCTTTTTAGTTCTCTCCCTCCCTCTGTCTCTCTTTCAATATCGCCAGAAACACACAAAAATCACCGTTGCTTTGAATAGACGTTTCGGAAATTTCATCGAACAATAGCCGCAGCAGCAACAGCATTTGAAGAAAAGAAGTAGAAAAAAGACACGATGACGACAAAAAAGGCGTATCGAACGGATCTAAATGTGAAATCCGATATGAATTTTGTAGTACATTGTGTGTGTGTATGTATTTTCTTGTGATGCCAACTTGTTCTCCGTTTTTTTTTCTTATCCTGATTTTTATGTTGTCTATTGCAAAAACAGCAACACAAAAAGGGTATAATAGCATCAAGCACATAAAAACGAATTAAGAAACGTATTCGTGCTTCGAAATTTCGATTCTCTTCCATTTTTTTTCCACTGAGATTTGTAGTAGTGTTGTACAAACTACACAAAGGAATACATATCTTTTTCAAAAGGTTCCATTGGCACGAAACTTGTTTTTCTTCCCTTTCACCACGGTTGAAAACTATAAAATCGAAAAACTTGGCCGAACGTATATTTGAATATGTGTACCATCAAATTCGTAAACAAGCAATGAATGTTATAATAGAAAGAAGGAAATGGGATGACATTGTATTGTACGAATACAATAAAATCATCGGCTTTTTATTTGGATAGTCAACGGAGAGAATGAAGGATGGACGTGAAAAAGGGTTCTTGCCTGCTTTCGAAAAGAAGGTATAAGACGGTGCGTGAAAAAAATGTATGCTGAAATTAGGCATCGGTCAGTAGGTAGGCTAGCGCTCGTATGCGTTGTGTGCAAAGATTTTCGAAGTAAACAAAAAAACATAAAGTGCTCAAAATCGGTTTTATCTTCAGTTATTCACTGTTGATAAATCGTATCGAAAAACCAAGGCGAAAAAGTAATCTGCATCTTTGGGACGGTTTACTTTCTCTTGAAATCCATACGCAAATATTTGCATATAACGCGCAGCAATCCCATGCCATTGCTGCTTATATTCGTCTTATTCTGATTATCACTTTTGTTTTCGCTCCAAGTATTTTCGGTGATTTACATAAATATGAAATGTGATATTTTGGTCTATGATTTGTTTGTCTTCGTCGTGAGCATAGCAAATATAACGAAAGAGTTCGAAAACGAATGATAGAAAGATCATTTTCATGTTTGACCTCATTTAATTCGACTAAAAGTTTTCAATGCGATAAACTTGATAGCTCTTGAGTTATATTAAACGTAACGTTATTTTTTCTTTCCAAACTGTATGTTATGTGTGAAAGAGATTTGTTTTTTTTTAGTTCTTTAAAAAGTCGTTTAATTCACAATGTCATTTGGCGAACAAAAGGGAGTCGCACAACAACACAATTCCCATTCCATTTCCTTGTCATCGGAGTGCTTCTTTTAATCGCATCGTTTGTCATTGAACTTGGTCTAATTCATTTTTGCTTGTGCTGATGCTGATATAGACATTGTCAGTTAGTTCGATATGATCTGAATATCCGTTCTTTTCATTCGAATACGGTGATGTGTCGTCTTTTCATCGTCATCGTCGTCTGTGTGCGTTGCCATTGTTATATGAGCCGAATTGTTCTGCACGCATACACAAATGAGCACTTCATTATGTTCACGATGATCTCGATAGAATCAATTTACGTCTCATTTTCATCACATTGTTATTCAGGTAACATGCACCATGTGTATATGTGTTGACACATTAAATCACAATATTTTGACAAACTCATCGTCACTTTTTGCTTTATTTTCTCTGAAACTTTACCATTTATATAATGCAGTGCATTGTCTTATGCTTTTTCTTTTCATTGTGTTCAATTAGAAAGTAATTATTATTGTTAACTGAATTGAATTTTGAAAATGTGTAACGTTTTCGGTTCACTTTCCGATTTAGGTAAAATGTGTAATTCGATTCATTGAGACATTTCGCTTGAAATTTGTAAATGATGCGAAACAATGTAATTTATTTTTCAATTTATGTATATGCAGCACAATTACCTCCATATTGTGATGCCGTACCAATGGATGATGGTGTAGATGTGCATCAGGATCTTCGTATGCTACTGAATGACCACCAGTTGAAACTCCGCTCGTGTCCAAGTGTCCGTTTCGCTTCGGCAACGATTTGCATGGCCAGAAATTTGGCATCTTTCTTTTATGTCTGAAAATAAATAATGCGAAAATATTTTATTAGATAAAATCTTTATTTTTCTTTGTTGATATTGCAGTATGACTGCGTGTGTGTGTTTGTTGGCAAAATCGAATGGAAATCAAAATCCCTTTTGAAATTTAATATTACTGATCGTCTATAGAATACTTGTTTTCTTCTTGTTCATTGCACTTTTTCTGCTTGTGAATGCACAGGCGCATACACAGTTATTCAAAATCCATACTTTTCCTCGTCATTGCAATTCAAAAAGTGCCGACAACTGAACTGAACATAATATTGAAGAGTTATTCGCATACAAAAACTCATCAAATAATTGAATGATGAAAGATGAAATCTCTCAAGAGTTAACGTAATATTTTTTTCTTCTTAAGATGTGTTTTTCTCAAGCGCACATTTTTACACTCGGCAAAAGCTTATTGAAAGCAAAAATAAAATTCGCGGAAAATTTGTATAACGAATATATATTTTTCTCTAGATTCTTTCATACATTCTTCGTTTTTTTTCGATTCGTTTTTCATCGCTCAGCTTGTGCATTTACTCTTTATTTGCACTATCGTGATACATTCACCGAGAATGCTCAATCTTTTCAACTCATCACAAAACATGCACAACGAACGAAGACTTATAATCAGCATCTTGAAATATATTACTCTTTCAAACCGTCCAATGTTTTTTTAAAAACTCAAATTTTTCATTAAAAATATTATGCGTTCGTCGAAGGGATGGTCGCATTTTTTGTTCCCGATTGCACAAGGGACGCAGAGAAAATAGTTTCATCAAATGCAAATATTGTTGCAGGAAATGAAATGTAAGAAGAGAAAAAGAACGATATATTTAAGTTTTTCTGTTATTTCAATAATTCTCCGGGTAAATCTAGCCTTTTTAAGTTTAAGCATAAGTCTCACGGACCAAATTGAAGGATTTTTCACTTCTTTCGACTAGGCATACTGCACTTTAATTCTCAATTTTCTCGGTGAAATGGCATCGATGTTTTTTCCCACCGCGAATTTTCTATCAATAGAGATAATTTAAAGTTATTAAGTAATTCGTCGAATCGAATGCTAGAATTCACTTGAGATTTAACAAAGCATGTGCAGTATGCAAAGTGCAGTGTGCACAATCGTTTTATTTTAATTCTGCAAGAAAAATGATGAAAAATTACTATAAAACGAATAGCAAACTCTTAACGTCGTGATTGCTCATATTTCTAGATTTTTGCATTGGATGGAGAAAAAAGAATACATGTTCAGCATGTGAACAGTCGAACTTAAGAAAATACCCCCAAAGAAAAATATAAGAATGAACATTTTTCTTGCAAATTTCTCCAATATTTCTGGCGCTCTCATTTAATATATCGTGATTTTTCGTCGTGACACTTTTGTACACACACGCTTTTTGCACTTGTGTATCCCATTCCGGTTATATCCATTGTTCGCTCACCCTCACGCTGGGTGCGTGGCAATTTATATATAACTACGTGTACGCAGTCAATCGAAATGGTTTGGCTGGTGACAACAATACAAGAATATGAAATTTGTTTCAGTGACAATGTGTTCAGGTAGCTCGTTCGCTCCTTTTTCTTCGGTGAAAAGAAAAACGATAAGAGAAATAATATTTTTTACAGCGGCTACCAATAGATTACGGCAAGAGGCACACGCTGTGTTAACGTTCAGGTATATTCACCGTTTCGGTGGGTAAAACTTGAGTTTAAAAATCAAAAATTCAAATAATTTTTGGCTTGTTGTGTCCCAGTTTTTCGGTATGCTGAATGTGTGTGTGCGTTTTTGTGCGGGTGTCAAAAAGTTTGTTGATTTTTTTTCTCGACGTTGCTGCTCTTTTTCGCTTTTCTTTTCATCTGGATGTCATAAATGTCGTCATGTGTAACGGACGAAGAAGCTCTATATATACCAGCAGCTTCAAAATTAATAAAGTTTTTCCCATTTGTTCAAAGCTATATGCTCCAAATCCAAAACGAACATGGAGCGGATTTTGCTTGATTTTTTTCCTGCTTGTCGCTTATAATGTTTTCATTTTCTCTGCATCTTTATGTATTTCATATTTTCTGCTTTCGTCAAAGAAGCCATAAGAAAACCATAGATTTATTGCCTAAAACGATAAAAAATAAAATTCACATATAGTTGGCGCTGCATTCTATGCAAACTTGTTTTCCGTTGCAACGGACTAAGTGGAAAGTATACGCTTATTACATAGAATGTAGCGCCAACTATACGTGAATTTTATTTTTTATCATTTTAGGCAGTAATCTTATCGCTTCTTTGCTTTCTCTCTCTCTCTCTTTGCTTCGCCGTACTTTGTCAATTCATAAAAAGTTTTCCGCAGGCGAATTCTTTATTTGAAGTTTCGATTGAATATTTGCGTGTTTCGTTGTATGTGTATGTATGGATTTTTCCGTGTTTTGAACGCTTAAGATATGAGTTTTATTATCATCATCATCATCATTCGCTTGGAATTTTTTTCGTTAACAAATTTCTGGGACATTTGCTTCAGCTCTTTCCGTTCTTGATTGATGATCAACCGCAACCGAATGAAACCTGAGTTTTTATTATCAGTTTTTCTTTACCATTCCGAAAGGTGTATCTTTTCGTTCGGTGTCGCCAACGGAGATAAAAAAAAACACACGCAAAACTTGGTTGATTTATGAAAAATAAACTTCAAAGGCCTCGCAATCGGAAATTGAAAATTTCGTTAGGAAAAAGGTTCCGAAAATTAAAATGAGAACTTTTCATTGTTTTTCGTTTGTTGATGGTTGGGTTTGTCTTTTCTCTTTCCTTTCATCAGTCACTCATAGTGACATTGCAAATTGGGTATTGTCGAGTGAATGGGATGCGCGCACAGACCAGAAACAATCAGAGTGAAAAGCAATTTATTTAAATTGAATCAAGGTGAACCGAACAACGATATCCGAAAGTTGACGTACATAATCAAACTGTTGTCGAATCGCTAAATTTAGTCCATGATAAATTTGCCCAAAATAACCTTATTTACATGTCGCGCTTGTTCCCGCTTTAAGAAATAGATTTCTTTTTTCTTTGGTGTGTCGCAGCTCAAGTGGATACTACTTGACTTGGATACTCTCGTTACGTTTGTGATTTATTTCTTTGAAAAATGAATATTAATGCGATTTGATTTAACGGACGACTCACTGTGTCCATCGAGAGAATACAAAGTTTTCTGTCTACCATGTTTTTTTGTGTTCTTTTCGTTGTGCATTGTGGCTTTTTGTATATTTCATTTCGTGGCTCGATTCGCTTACAATTTGATTTCATCAGTGACAACGAAAAATGTGCTGTTGCTAATTTTATATTGAGAACCGTCAATCAAGAGCATTTGCTTCATGTGCTTGCAGCTTCTTAATTGCTGTCCTTCGCATTTTGGAATTTGCATCATCAACTTCGACAACGAGACGACATTCATACACACCGCTGCGGCATTAACAAAAATTTAAAATTCAAAGTTGATAAGTTTTCGAATGATGGTGACGAAAAGGGAAAAAAAGAGAAACGAAACAAAACCTTTCTATGCAAATCATGTGTTTTCTACCGTTTTTTTTTATTTTGGTACAATTTCTTAATTGCGACAGTGAATTAAAGTTGAATGGGCTCGAAAAGACGAAATCTTATCGTTATTATCACTGACAACATCATTATCCTTCGTTTCAATCAAATTTACTCATTTTTCTCCTTTTGAAAATCTCATTTCAAGCGAACGAAAAAAAACTGGCTGCCTTCATGCTAGTACATCTTTTCATTTGATGGAAATTTATTTCGATACTCGTCACTCAAGGGATTTACAACAGAGGAAAAATCGCGGCGGAGAAAATGTGAAAAAAGTAAGACTTTTTGAATTTTGTCAGATAATTGCAACGGGAAATTAACTTGTTCAACAGTTTTCTTGAAATTAACTTGATTTTCTATTGCAATCATGATTTTAATTGCATTCGGTTTCATTTTTTATCCTTCACCAAATTATGCGGTGCATTTTCATGATAGTTTGTCTGCAAATTTCACATATTTTGTAACATTCAATTGTCTAAAATTATAAGAAATGAAACGAATATTTTCTTCAGAATTGCACTTTTAGTACCTGTCTCTTCAAAATTTCGGTTAAATTAAAGAGTTTAGCAATGAATTCAACAATAATTCTAATTAAAAAGTTTTAAAAATAAAGCAGCATACTGAAATCTGGAGCTTATTCACGCATTTGCATAATTATTTATAAATTCGGGACCGAAGCGACTGCGTCTCGCTAATATTATTATTATTATGATCACGATAATCGTTTCGGCCAAAGTATATTTCAGTTTTCAATTTCAATTAGTTTGTGTATGTGCGAGATATTCCGAAATTGGGGATCTACACATTGCAAAATACATAAAGCGCTTGAAACTGGGCAAATTAAAAATCGCTAATTGTCTTTCTCAGTATTAAGAAATTAAATATCTGTTTCAGTGTTTGGTGCAGGCATTGAAACTTGGCCAACTTTTCTTTTGCTGAACGAAGCAAGCAAGCAAGCGAGTGCACAAAAACAGAGGAGAGAGAGAGAAACGAGTCATAATTTTCATAATGCAATTTCGAATTGTAGAAATAGAGACAGAGAAAGACAAAAAGAAATACACCCAATGAAAATTGAATGCCAAAGAAAAACATATAATTTCATTAAATTGCCATAACTCTGGCGCATTTGTTTTTGCAAAATATTATAAAATTAGCTGCAAGTTCGTTTTTCATTTCAAACCGTTTTTAAAATTTCAAACGTAGTTTTTCCATAGCTCCATGTTCGTTTTCGTGTGTTCTCTCTTCGTTTCGACTAAAAGTAAATGAATAAACAAAGCTCAAGGAGAAAATATACAAAAGTGGTTTAATGAAATAATAATCAAGGAATTAAATTGAATTTTGCTCATTCAAATCTGTGTACTTGCAATGTACACTTATCATAGGGGCATATTCAAGCAGAATTTTCTCTGTATCTCA